AAATAAAGACTGTTCGTTACCTAGAAATCGTGTGTTTATGGTAGAACGAAACACTGATAAAATAAAATTAAAAGAAAAAAAAGTGATACATCTAAACAATCAAGGCTAAGTAATAGTAAAACAGAGAATGAAATGTTGTGTTAGACAACAAACAAACACATACAAATCCACTTTAATCCAAGAACATCAACATCTCGGGATCCAGGAGACAAACATCAGACCTAAAAAGTACTCTGTCTGCTTCAGATCTTTGAAGGGCAATTGTTGTCAGCTTTAATATGAGTTATTATAATGATAATAATTGTGACGGATAAGAAGCCTTGCGTTACACACGTGTTAAGTTAATGATTATTAGTAGGTTCTTTAGTATTTCGCAAATGTAGCCCGATCGTAGTATTTTTAGAGGAGAGAACACAAACACATATATTCAGTTTGTGGAGATATTGAGATATTCGATTGCCATCGGAGATATTGTATTGTGCTACCCCCCCTAGAAGGATTATAAGGATTAAAACGTAAGTTTTTTCCATTTTTGATGTTGCTTTTGCTCATCATTCAGTTTGTCCATTGATTCTTTCTCATTTAGTTATTCGTTGCATAATGTGCATCTCTGTAATTTCCCCTTGTTCTCACTGCATACTTCAGTTCATCTAATAAACCAATAATCAAGAATCAGAAGTTGTGTGGTTGATCACAGCGAACTCCGAATCGATACTTAAGCAAACAAGAACTCCGTCTGGGAATGCGACAACAATAATAATCAAACATGTTTATTCTTAAATTTACATAAGCAGGGAAAAATCAAAACATAGCACTGACAAGAAATATTTGACAAAGGCTTTTTTGGCTAAAATGGTTCAGTAGATGTGCTGTGCAATTTCTGAGAGGGTTTTTCCGGGTGGTCAAGTACCCCTTCCATTATTTCAAACTCCACATGCAAATGCATAAGAAAACTATTTAACAGTTGTCCCAAAGTCTCTGCTTTCACTTTACCAGAATTTAGGCATTTTAATACATAGCAAATAACGGTTTTTGGCAACATGTACAAAGCAGTCGCTACCTCGTCAACGTTGTAATCTTAAAAACTCCTTCATCCATATTGCCTGCCATCTCAATTTGAGTGTCCATTAGTGAGAGACAACACCCACAATCGGTGGGCGCTCTGCACATGCCGGTTTACCAATGCTTTATGTCGTAAACTAAAATGAGTCAAGTTAAAAATCTACAGAAGGAAAACCTTAAACTAAAAGGAGAGATTTCAGCTGTAAATAGCGAACTCCAGAAGCTGAAATCGATCATCAAGCAACAACGACTTCAAGTGGACATCGAGCAGGTTGGAGATGCTGCAACAAGATATGGAAAAAGAGTGTTGATTTCTTATGTGAGGACCATCATATAACCAAAAACTTTCGAGAGGAAATGTCAAAAGAACTTGACAATCTAAGCCGTAAGCTTGAAGCCATTTCTACAAGAGTTGACAGTTTGGACGCCGCCATTGATGACTTACTGAAGTACAGCTTTCAGTATAACATCAAAATTATTGGCTTTCCTGAACAGGATGAACACGAGTCTTCTGAAACCACCACGCAGTTGTGTTTAAAGCTTTTCCATGCTATCGGAGCCGAGGGAGTGACGAAAAACGACATTGATATCGCTCATAGAGTGGATGGCCGAAGGGCTGACCGCCATTACCCAAGACCTATTGTGTGCAAGTTTATAAGACGACTGGCCAAAGAAGAAGTCATGGCTCATTGTAATGAAACTTCCAACTTAAACCCTGATGATCTGGATTTATCTGCTGATTTTCACACGAGAAATATCCAAATTCATGAACACCTGATCCCGAGATTACAGCAACTTCTTAGCGAGACAAACAAATCGAAATCAACACATCAATTCCAGTACGTCTGGGTGAAGAACTCTGAGATTCTGGCTCGTAAATCTAGTAGTTCTCAGGTCTTCAAATTAAAACGCATGGCCGATCTTGACAATCTGAAACAAAGCTTGGTCAGTAATCCAACTCAGGATTAAGGAGATAAGTGTGTTAATTGTTATTCGTTTATAATCTTAATGATGTGATACAGTTATTGGAAATGGCTTTGCACAAAGAGATGAAAAATCTCGCTAAAGAAACAAATTTCTGTTGATGGAATTGCCATATTATAACTGGAAAGATCTGAAAAATGCCCACCCGCAGTATAACGCTTTACTGGACACTAATCTCGCCTCCAGGAAATCGAGTAAAATTCGTTTGAGCTACTATTCGCCTCATAGCTTCTCCGTGAAGTTTGAAAATACCAGAAATAGAGATGTCGTATCCGATTTCTCTATTCTTCACACTAATATAAGAAGCTTAAGAAAAAATATTGAACATTTTCAGTGTCACGTACTCAGTGAGGTAAAACATAATTTCACGGTATTAGGTGTTACAGAAACGCGACTGTGCGTAGGCAAATCTATTGAATTTTATACCACAACTACCTGGCTATTGCTTTGAATTTGTTAAAACCCCGTTGT